GAGCTGCCAGGACAATGAAAGAAGGCAACTATTGGCTGTGGTACAGGTTTCCTTTTGATTGTCACGGAAAAGCATCCTCTGTCTGGCACGGAACATAAGTCCTTTCTGTGAAGACATTAATACAACATTTGCTGGAAAACTTGGAGGGCTGAATGCTATCCATACCTACCAGCTGTGCTTCAAAGGGAGCAGTGCCATGTCTTTTACATAAGACTGCCCAGTGCCCAGGTTGGTATTAGGGGGGAAGATATTTTGTCTTTGGTTGGTGCTAAACAAGGTTTCAGAGGCCTTGGACAAATTGAACATTATTTGAAACGGTGCCTTCATCTGCTGGCTGCTGCTCCTCATGTCTGTTTCTCTTGTGTTCATTGAAGTCCATCTTATAAACTTCTTGCCAGTGGTCATAACTTGCCCTTTCCTGTTTGTGGTTTGTTACTGTATCAGGCTGGAGCAGTTGAATACCTGCAGTGAGATTTTACAAACACTGCAATTCAGTTACAAAAGTCATAACTGGTGAAGTCACTCAAAATCAAGTTCTTGGAAAATATTTTTAATCCAATTTAATTGAATTAGCAATATGTACACAAAGCAGCAGGTGATTGCTGGCTGTAATGGGGTATTGATTTGCTGCTTCTCAGCAAATGGACCTCCTGAGGTTCCTTTCAACCTGATTGAAGGAGCCTTTCTGTCTCCACAAAGCTCCATTCAGTAGAGCATGTTGGCTCCGCTGCGGGCTAAGTACTGCAAAAGACTGTCTCCATTCTTGTCCATTGAGGGTTTGGATTTATTGGAAAGCTGTTTGCCTGGCTTTTGCAGCACAGATAGTGTTTTTCTGAAGTGAGGATGTCTTGTTATGGATGAAATAGAACCAACTGGGGTGATGTTTAGCTCTCTGGCACCAGGGGAGTTCCATATTGATGCAGACCTGTCTCCTCAGAACAAGCCAGCATCAGCTCTCAGTTGCAGACTCTGGTTGACATGGGTAGTTGTCAGTGTCTATGAAGGCTGAGGTCAGAACAATATCACCAAAACCAGAGCTTTGTATTTGCCAGTGCCAACTGAAAAGCTAGAGAATAATTGACTTAGGAACGCCATTTATGCTCAGTTCTCTTACAGTTTATTTCTGGGTTCAGCTTTGTGACTGGAAAGATTTAGTGGCATAACTATGTCAGCTGGTAGACTTTACATTTTTTTTGTAACTAGCTGACTTAACTACGTCAGTAAAAGCCATAAATGCAGTTGCAGGTAAAAACATAGAAAACATGCATTCTACTGTAATAGCTCATTTCACTTTCTATATTATCTTGTGTTGATGTAGGAGTATTTGCATCAATTTGAGTTTTCCCTATTGGAGGGCAGCAGAAGAGACAAGCAGGAACATTGCTTTAACTCTGATAGCTTAAAGTGAATCTTCCTCCTTATCCCTCAAACTGTCTCATCTTCCTAAAAGCAATACTGCCTGTACTGAATTAGAAACTCATTAGCATAGCCACATTAAAACCAAACCCAAACAGCTGGGGAATTGATTATTTTTTGGGGCATCTCCCACCAAGTTGAACAACTCCTATAACTTATCCTGCTGACAAGTCTTGTTGACCTCATTTAGGAAATATAAACCAATTTCATCCAAGCACTTTGCCAAAGGATTTACCAAATAACCTGCTAGTAATGTCTACCTGGAATTAAATATGGTGGTAAAGACAAAAAAGCTGTACAAATGCTACAAAAGCCTGATGGCAAAACCAGCATAAAGCCCTTGAATAACTGCTTCTGTGCTGGGTATTTGTTCTATTAAAAAATGTTGAGCACATGTGCTTGCAGCCACACAAATACAGTCTTATCCAGTAGGATGATATGAACACAAACCAAGCCCCTACATAAGTGCAGAGCAGGTGAAGATCATTACAACAACCTGAATCATTTGTGCTGCCTTCCTTTATAAGGAACACAAAGGTAATTAATCCATTTGGGCCGCTGGTGGACACCAGCAGAGAGAAAGGTAACAGCATAATCTGTTAGGGCCTTGGTGGTGGGTTGTGTTTCCACCTGGAGACTGCCAAGTCCTGAGTGAGCCCAGATTTCAGGCTTCAGTCTCTGCCATTGGTAGCAAAGGAAGAGGTTTGCCAAGGGCCAGACACTGTGCCAAGAGCATTTCTTATATGTCCGTCGTTAAAGCTCCTGGCTATTACGAGACAAACACTGTATGGCAAATATTGAATGGAATATAGACATTTTTAAAGTAATTGTTTAGCATTTAAAATAATCGTTTCTCTCTCCCTTGAAAACAAAACAAACAAAAAAATCACCACAACAAAACCTCAATTACAGAAAACAAACAAGCAAAGAAACCTGAGAAGGTTCCTTAAGAGTCTTAGTTGCCAAACTGAAGCAAGAATATTGGGGCAGTGCTTGGCTGGAAACAGCTTACTTGCTTGGATTGGAGGATGAGCAGGAAAAGAAGGAAGTGAGGTAATTCCATACAGTTGTACTTCTATCTGAGCAGGTGATCTAGATGTGAATGACATTTAAAATCCATGTTGCTGTATTTCCCTGATAACTTGTTCCAGGAATTGGATGCTGGAACATTGGATCTTGATGGTTGATATTTGTGCATTGACTATACTCTGTTGTGCCACCTTGTGTCTTTAAGAGACCCAGAGCCATGAGACAGTTCAGCCAGAAGAGTCTTGGCTGTATCAGAATTACAGAGAATTTGCTCTGGATCTGTCTGTCCCTACAGTCTTGTCTTCTGTAAAGTAGACCCAATACAGGACCCTGTTTTACTGAGAACAGAAAGCAGAGTTCATGTTTTGATATTGTATTAATATGTTACTTAACATAAAACCATTTCCATTTGGTTTTGTTATTCCTGCAAAAATTAGTGACCATTGAAACATCACTGTAAAGACCTAGTTTCTATGAGTAGAATCTTGTTTGCTTTCCACATCTCAGTGGCTGTGAAAAGTTTGAATCAAGTCATCACTCTTCTAACAAAATCTACCACAAAACAATATCCAAAATGTAAAGTCAGTACTGGAAGCAAACATGTACACACACCCCACCTCCAGACCTTGGTATTGCTCAGGGTTAATTATATTAACATATGAGCATTAATTGATTCCTACTTCGCTCAAAAAACATGCGTAACCTTTTAAATAACAGTGTGTCACTTCCACCACTCACTGAAAAAATGGGATGCCTCGTTCCAGACTGTCCAGGCCAAAGGACATGAAAACCTTCCTGTTTCATTTATCTTGCTTTAATTACTTCATTTATTTAGCATGCAGGTGGCTTTTATATTGCTCAGAAGATTTGGATTCATGGCAGCAGGGGTGGGAGGGCAGGCTGTGCTGTGAGATTTCAAGCACGGACTGGAGTTAAGTAGAAAGATTAGTAGTGGCTCTCATACTCATCTGGGTTGTTGGAAATGGAAACCAGGGAGAGGACAGGTGTATTTCTGGCTTCAGGAGGGTGTCCCAACCACTGGCCTACTGGAATGGTGTAAGGGGGGTACTTTTGAATTGGATGATCAATGGAGCATAGAGGTGTGAGAAAGGAATTATATTAGGATGTGAAACCAGCTAGAGTGTGGTACAATGTAACTTAATGGCACAAGCTAATTGTAAGGTCCATTGTGCTTTTTAGCAAGTCAGCCTGATATCCCCTATTATCAGAGCTGAGTTCTTCCTTAGTTTTGCTACATACTGCAAGATGGATACATCTACCCTTGAAACACAATGGTAGAGGTCATACAGAGGGGTGAGAAAGATGATGATGGAAGGAAGATTCTGTGGGCAGGGGTCGCTCGCCCCTTGCCCCACAAGTAGGGCATGCGCAGACTGTTGCCATTAGGTAATGATTAGGCAGTGTTTGGCTGCCATTCAGGCATCACCTTATACTGTGTACTGGCCCTACGTAGTGTAATGTGGAACTGATAAAATGGGGTGTCTGGGCTGCTGAGTTGAGCGATACTCATCCTACCACCGAGACTGTGTTGCTCCGCGGGGACGCCCGCTAAGTATGGGGACCGACCAGCTGCTGCAGATCCTGACAGCCCTGGCCTGTCTGTGTGGGTAAGCACAGTTTATTGATAGGAAGTAACTGAGAGAACAAACCCTTTCTTTTTCTTTTCTTTTTTAATATCCTTTTAGTGTTCCTTTAATTCCCCCTTTTATTATTGAATATTGTTACATAAATAAGTTGTTCATAATATTTCCCTTTAATTTCCCTTTTTACTAACCAATATTGTGTTAATAGTTATCCATAATATTGTGTTAAGATCCCTTTTTTGGTATCCCTTTAGCCCTCCCTCTTTTCACTAGTTAATACTGTATTAAAAGCTGTTCGTAGTATTTGTTTTAATGTCACCCAATAAGGTAGTTATTTTGTATCCCTTTTTTTAGTTTTTTGATTCCTCTTGTTAAGTTTATTACTATTATTATTATCCTCACTGTAATAAAAGATAGTTTGTGTGTTTGAATATTTGTGGCACTTGTCTTTATTCCGGACATGCATCCAAACGAACTGTTACAAATGGTGAACTGAAGAGAAGATGATGAGGGATTTGCAACTTGCTGTGGGTCCTGTAGAGACTGTTGGTAAATAAAAGGCTTGCAAATAATTTTGATCCAAAGAGAGAAATTTGAGAGTAAGCAACAACAACAACAAAGTAAACACCACATAAATACCTCAAAAAATCTTCAGTCTCTTGCTTGGAGAATGAAGGTGATAGGGCCTGTGTGGAAGTACTGAAGGGATACATCTCTATCTCCAGAACAATTCTGTCACAGTAGAAAGCAGTGCTAGAGTTAAACTTTCACAGAGACATTTGCCTCCTGTTTTCCTTCCAGACAGTCAATGCTTGTTGATCTACTTCTGCTGGCACCCTGTTTTAATGATCCCTGGAGGAGTAGAAGAGTAGCCATATGGCTTGCAGTAGCTTGAATTTCAGCATAAAATTGAAAAAGAGAGACTAATTTCCTTTTTTCTTTTTTTCCTAGATAATGCTTTGAACCCTTTTTTTACACGATCTAAGAAAAAAATATGGAAGCTCCCAGGCAGTTTCAACACTGTGAAACACCATCTTGAGAGAGGTCAGCACAGGAGGTGTGCCTGGAGGACAGTCCTTTACAGCTGCCCCTGGAGAAGCCTCGACGGGTAGCAAAGCAGATGGCTCAGCTCTGTCAAAGAAAGTCTCCTAAAAACACCAGATTACTGAGGCAATGAGGTTCTGGCTTGCCAACTGCGTCTGAGATGCTCATGGGCATGGCTCTCTTTCAGCCCTGCCCTTTCTGCAAGACAAAATAGAATTTTAATCCTCCCAAGAAAATTTCATAGTGGAAGTATGTGAAAATGAGGACAGCAACACAGATGGATGTTTGCTAATAGCTGTTTGGATTTGGCAATGTAGGAGGGGTTTTCTAGCTTTACAGTCCCTTAGTATTTGTAAAATTACTTTATATAAAAAAAAAAATCGCCCTGTGGGTGGTATGCAGGGGTTGTGCTAAAAATGAATAATTTAAAATAATGAATAATTAACCCCCAATTTGCCAATAGGTAATTTAAATTTCAGTTGTGCACTAAAAAAATGTGAAAATATTACAATTTGGGATTGCAATTTGTGTTCTTCAAGTGAGTCCAAATCTGAACTGGCACTATGTGCCACTAAGAACAGCAAATCTCAAAGCAATATGAATATGTGCATTGGACTTAATGGACTTTCTTTCCAAAGAAGACAAAATGACTTTAAAATGGGAACTGCAAGTACACTCTACCTCCTGGGAAAACAGCTCTTACTTTCCCTTTGTATAAAGGTCATTGCAAATTGGGAAGTTTAATTCCTGTCCTGCATGTTTTGTGCCACCAGTCATGGTCCCTGGCTGATAAATAAGAAAAGTGAATTAGTTCTTGAAGAGAGGGAGTGAACAGTATAAAATTGGCCGAGTGTTTCTCAGGAGGAGAAACACCTGGCTGCAGTGGGCTTTTTATCTATTTTGAAGTAGATATATTTCTAAACTACTCGTTGCTTTAGTACAAGGAATGACAAATCATATATTCAGTGAGGGATCAAAGAGATGACACAGGAAAAGAGAGCCTAGATGCAGGATTACCATTTCTGGGTTAATGGATTACCTGAAAACACAGGCTGCTAAGTTTAGATATAGCAACTCAAGAAATAAAATTGTTGTTGCCCAAATGAAGAGAATGAGTCTGATTTGTTTCTACAACTCAAGCACAATAGTACCTGATTTTGCATCAAAAAGTCAGAAACGAATGAAATTAATATAAAAGATCCATGTTTGCAAGTTATCAACTAAGAAAAGTGGAAGTGAGAGACAGTGTCATTGTAAAGAAAAAGGTGTTCAGAAATCTCCATCGTACATGAACAACAGATTTTCTTTCAGAAACTCTAGTCCTGCATGCAGTATTTGTTTGGGAAGGAGAGTATCTGAGAAGTTGCTACAATGTCTGTGTGCTAGAGAGCAGTAAGTGAAGCTTTAGTATGTTTTCTACTACTGCTGTTTGCTTTTACATGTAGCATTACACATGGCATTTTTTTTCTTCCTGTAGTGTAAACTTCATATATTATAAACAGAAACATGCATGAGTAAGAGGGTTTGTGAGGAGAAGAAGTAAGAATTTACTTGTGTAATGATGTTTAGGTAAAAGATACTTTATTGTTAGTTGTTGTTTGGGGTTTTTTATTAATTCTTATTTTTTTCATTGCAGTGATAGCAGCTGTCTTATCTTCTAACAAGAACAAATCCTCCAGCACAGGGCAGAGTTATCACTCCTTTCTGAATTTAAAAGCTCATAAGCTGTACCATGTTTGTTACATGTACTGTTGCTCTGGGATTTATTTCTGGGATATAACCTCAGTTATATTTGCCCTATAGGAGTACTTTTACTGAGGTGCCCCTTTATGTTTCAGCTACAGAGATCAAAAGATTTACTGGAATTTATGTGCCACTTCCATATCTTTCTTCTCAGTGTCTCACAAACAGGAGAGGAATGTGGGAAGTGTCTGTGTCTTAGAGATCTGTAGTGAATGAGAATCTGAGTTAACACTGATACACATAAAGAACAACTAAAACACAAGGAGGAAGAATAACTCATCTTCTATTCTCTGCTTTATAATTTGCTTATTAAGCAGATATCCCTCCAGCTATATTTCCCTTTTCTCACAACTAAGAATTGTAGGAGAACTCGCACAGTTCTGTCTTCCTAAAGTTTCTAAACTTACCTGTCTAAAATAGCAAGTCAGGACTGTAAAAGAATAGGATTTTGAATGGAATTCTGAAGGAAACTGAAGGGAAATTTCTGAAGAAACATGATTCATGCTTAAATCTTTTATTTTTTTTATGTTTGTCTTGATTTAAAGGCCAGGTTTCAGAATGTTTTTACACTAGGTTGAAAAAATTGATGAGAAGTACATTTGAAATGATACTTTCTGTTAGTTTCAGTTCTTTATTAATTTCTTTGCTTTATTAATGTCTGCAAGTTAAAAGAAGTTATAGGTCAGGCTTAGAATAAAACGGGATGTTGTCTATATAAAATTTTATTTCTTCAGTATGTCTCCCATTTGTCTTACAGTGACAGATTGGTTTAGAAGACCATTTCCCAGAAGGAGTCAAGGAGTCCTTTCCATAGTTATGGCTCAATAAACTGTGATGGTATGAACTTAAGTTCTTTTCTCAGAGGCCAAATTGAAGACTCAGAAAGGCACAGGCCTGAGCTTTTCAGGGATACACTGAACAGTTAAGGACCGCAAATCTGAGGTCTTCCTCTACTTTGAAGAGTTAAAAGCAGGGAGCTTTCACAGTGTGGTTCATCTGTCTTGTACAGGCTGATAAGGAATAGTTGAGCTTTGCTCTGTTGTTGTCTGGAGTGAAAACTGATCTCTGTGTTGGAGAAATGTACATAAAACAATAATGATTTTTGTGAGCATTCAGCTCAATGCTCTCTCCAAGTGGTTTCCTAAGGAAGGCTTTATTTCCCTTCTTCTTTTCCTTGCTTTTCAAGGAAAGAAAGTCTCCAGGCCTTCACACTGTGAATCCCCAGATTCCCTCTGTGTGCTGCAGAAGGGACCATATCCCCATCTCACCTATGAAGGACCCATGCCTTGTGCTCCTCCAAACCTTTCCCAGGGAATTGACAAACATACCTCTGCCAGGCTGGTACATCAAACTTGAAACATCTTTGCTGCTGTAATCCCTTGATCTGTGTGGGTTTTCCACAAATCCCCTTGGCAGCAGCTCCCTGTTTGCCTCCTTACCTGCAATAGGAGAAGAGGAGGGGAGAGGTGCCTCACAGCCTCCTGCCTTCTCCCCAAACTCAGCAGATATAATGGTCCAGATATGGTCTCAAATTTGAGATGCTGTTTAGAGGAGTCTGGTACCAGATTCCACAGGGAACAGCTTGACTTGCTGTGTTTTGCGTGCCTTTCTGAGCCTTTCATCTCATCAGATCTTTTACTGTAATATCAACTTGTCAGAATGGATTTGGGAGTCCATCCCCTCACCACCAATTAAAATGGAAGTAATTTAGCAAAAGAAGACCTTGCAGAATTAAACCTGGCAGCTTTCATGTAGCTTATGCTAAAGTTTGAGATACTATCTATTTAAACATAAAAAAAATCTATAAAATGTCCACTTTTATCCCTCACCATAATGTACTGCAGCTCCCTAGACTGCATTTAATATGCAGCACAAATCAAATTCCTAGCCAACCAGATCTGTGCTCCTACTTCACTTGCTATAAGGCAGTAATTAATTTTCCATTAATTTTCACACAGATTATACTTTCTTGAATTTTAACTAGAAAGGAGTTAGAATTAAAACCTAATCCAGAATTTGCAGCAAATAAAAATAACAGCTTTTTGTCTTTCTAAGTACCAATGATCTTTTGAGTCAATACCATTCATAAAAATGTATATCTGGCAGTATTAATTTCATGTAACTTTGGGCATCTACAGTAGATGTATCACTACACTTGATTTTCTCACCTCTTTCTGCACTGTTAGTGACAAGAAATGAGCAGTAGGGAATGTCTCATCTGAACTTCTTCAAACAACAAATTAAGCTATAATTTAGGGTGACACAATGGGCACAGAAAAGCCTATTTCTTCCCAGTGGGAATCGTGGCAGCCCAAGCTGAAACCCTCAGGAAGAGCGAATCATTCCCCATCAGCATGACCTCAGTGCCTGGCAGGGTTATGGAGCAGATCATCCTAAGTGCAATCACATAGCACCTACAGGATGGACAAGGGATCAGACCCAGCCAGCATGGGTTTAGGAAGGGCAGATCCTGTCTGACCAACCTGATCTCCTTTTATGATCAGGTGACCCACCTGGTGGATGAGGGGAAGGCTGTGGATGTGGTCTACCTGGACTTCAGCAAAGCCTTTGACACCATCTCCCACAGCATTCTCCTGAAAAAGCTGCAGCCCATGGCTTGGACAGGGGCACTCTGTGCTGGGTTAGGAACTGGCTGATGGCCGGGCCCAGAGAGTGGTGGGGAACAGAGCTGCATCCAGCTGGGATCTGGTCACCAGTGGTGTCCCCCAGGGATCAGTGTTGGGCCCAGTTCTGTTTAATGTCTTTATTGATGATCTGGATGAGGGCACTGAGTCCACCATTAGCAAATTTGCAGATGACATCAACCTAGGAGGGAATCGATTACCTGGAAGGCAGGAGAGCTCTGTAGAGGGACCTGGACTGACTGGAGAGATAGTCTAGTTCCAACAGGATGAGGTTCAACAAGGCGAAGTGCCGGGTCCTGCACTTTGGCCTCAACAACCCCCTGCAGCACTACAGGCTGGGGACAGAGTGGCTGGAGAGCAGCCAGGCAGGAAGGGACCTGGGAGTTTGGATTGACAGGAGGGTGAACATGAGCCAGCAGTGTGCCCAGATGGCCAAGAAGGCCAAAGAATCCTGGCCTGTACCAGGAATAGTGTGGCAGCAGGACCAGGGAAGTGACTGTTGTACTTGGCACTGGTGAGGCCACCCCTCGAGTGCTGTGTCCGGTTCTGGGCCCCTCAGTTCAGGAAGGACATGGAAGGGCTGGAGCAGGTGCAGAGAAGAGCAAGGAGGCTGGTGAAGGGTCTGGAGCACAAGTGGTGTGAGGAGATGCTGAGGGAGCTGGGGTTGTTTAGCCTGGAGAGGAGGAGGCTCAGGGGAGACCTCCTCACTCTCTACAACTCCCTGACAGGAGGGGGGAAGCCAGGTGGGTGTCAGGCTCTTCTCCCGGGCAACGATCAGTAAGACAAGAGGGCTTAAGCTCTACCGGGGAGTCTTAGGCTAGATATTAGGAAGACATTCTTTACAGAGACAGTGTCATAGGTTTACTTGTTCTAAAAATCCAAGTAGAAATTTTCCTTTTCCAGTCCAGCTGTGAGAGAAGGAGGTTGAACGAGGAGGGGGAAAGGTAATTGACTATACAAAAAAACTAGCTGGCAGACCTGCATTCTCGCTAATAGTCCTTCCAAAAGTGCAGGGAGGGGGGAGGAGTTTTTCTTCTCTTCTCCTTGGAAACGGGGGACACTTCACTTTGTGCCTTAATGGGGGCAAGGTGTGTTGGAAAAGCTCTGAGGCCGTTTTGCTCTCAACCTGGTCACCTGTCTGTTCTCCAGCCTCGGTTTGTCTGTGATCTGCTCTGTCGGCAGCCAAATCTGCTCAGATTTCATCGTAGAGTTTGTGCTCACACGAACAAAGGGGGAGTCCTGTCTACAGCCAGCCGCAGAGACCGTGAGTTTAGTGGGAAAGAAACCACCTTTCTTTCCCCTTTCTTCCCCTTCCCCTCCTTGATGGGGGGGGGGGAAATCTCCATTTCGGTTCTCCTGCAATCCGGGGCCTGCACACGGCGACCGCCAGAGCCCAACAGCGCCCCCTGCTGGCCAACACCGAGCAGTGCAGGCTCTGCTCCTCCAGAGATCCAACAGCGCCCCCTGCTGGCCAGCACAGAGCAGTAGCAAAGAGCAGCAAGGTGTTTGCCAATAATACAATGCAAAGCTTGTATCCTACTGAACAAAGGTTGGGATTATCAGCATTTGAAACACATCCATCACCACTATCTAGGTGGGGGCAGATGACATCAATAGGACTTACCCTTGCTTGGTTTACAGTCTTCTGTGACTTGAGCTTGACTACCAAGTTCCATGGTGACTACTTTCTCTCCTGGCTGAATTTTAATGCCTAT